CGACCTAAGCAGATAAGCAAAGATGTCCCTGGAGAAATGGCCTCTGGTGATTGCATCTAAACATAAGAAAAATGTTCAGATGGAAATTTTGAGTCTTTCAAGATAGGCCTGAGAGAGGTTGGCAGGTGGTGGCAATTACTCTTTGAATACAGCTGATGGCTGTCAACTGTTTTTGGCGTTTGGAGAGCTTGGGGAACTAACACTTTGTAATGTCAAAGTTTATGTATGATCACGCTTCGTACTCCTTTTCGTTCCAAGTTTGTCTATCATTCAGACTCACTACTTGGACATTTTGAAGTAGCTGTGGAGAATGAGTGATAACTTTTTTTTTTTAATGAGGTGAATTTCACATTGCATTAGATTAATAATTTTAAGTGAACAACCCAGTGGAGTGGCATTTAGTATATTCACAATGTTGTGCAGCGACTACTTCTAACCACTTCCAAAACATTTCATCAGCCTAGAAGGAAACCCTGTACCCATTAAGCAATTATTCCTCATTTCCCCTTCACCCCAGCTTCTGGCAACCAATCTTCCTCTATGGAATTAGCAATTGTGGATATTTCATATAAATAGGATGTGTCTGGCTTCTTTCACTTAGCATGTTTTTAATGTTCATCATAATATCAGTATTTAATTCCTTTTTATAGCTGAGTAGTATTCCATTGTGTGGGTATCTGTTGGACACTTGGGTTGTTTCCACCTTTCGGCTGTTGTGAGTAGTGCTGCTAAGAACGTGTGTATTTTGAGTATCTGCCTTCAGTTCTTTACGGTGTATTCCTAGGAGTGAAATTGCTGGGTCATATGGTAATTCTATGCTTAACTATTTGAGGAACTGCCGAACTTTCCCACAGTGGCTGCACCATTTTACATTCCCACCAACCGTGTACGAGGGTCCCAATTTTTCCACATCCTCATCAACACTTGTTATTTTCTATTTTATTTTTAGTATGTCCCTCCTAATGGATGTGAAGTGGTATCTCATAGTGGTTTGTTTGTTTCTTTTTGGGGGATCAAGCCATTTTATTGAGGGGCATTGGGGGAGGGCCTTAGAGCTGGGAGAACAGTGATATCTGACATCCTTCTCTCGGCCCTCGGATCTTCTCAGCTTCACAGTCGCTGAAATCTCATAGTCATTTTGTTTTTTGGGTTTTTTTGGCTGTGCCAAACAGCTTGTGGGGTCTCAGTTCCGCGACCAGGAATTGAACCCTGGCAACAACAGGGAAAGCCCGGAATCCTAACCACTAGGCCACCAGGGAACTCCCGAAAGCTCATAGTGGTTTTGATTTGCATTTTCTTAATGATATTGAGCATCCTTGCATGTGCTCATTGGCCACTTGTATATCTTCTTTGGAAAAATGTTTATTCAAGTCTTTTGGACATTTTAAAATTGGGGTGGTGTTGATTCCTATATTATGGAATGGAAAAGGAAGAAAGAAAAACAATGAAAAACCTCTCCCACCCTTTACCAGTCTCTGCTGGAGCACATCCGTACTTCACTTGGGTGTTTATAACCCTGCCTTAGTCTTCTCTTCCTGTTTGCACCAAGCTTAGAAATCAGCCAGAGACGAAAGAGTAGGGTCTTCTTAGGTCTTTTCTGAGCATTTGTCCTGCCCTGGGCGTGCACATTGCTTTCTAAGTTACCCAGTGTGTATGGGTGCTTCTGAATGCCTTAATTACCCAAAGGAACTCTCACCCCAGCTTTTCCTCCCAGCTTTTGGTATGTCAATTGTAATCTTGTGCCCCAGAGAACTGCGGGTTCTCCCTTTGCCTTACAGTGTTTTCCCAGAATGTGTTCTGAGTTAAACAGATAAGCACCTTGAGGCGGTCCCTCAGGTAACCCCCAGACATCTTAGAACGGACACATGCAGTACTGTGAGAACGAGGGCTGCTCTGCTCCCTTAGAAACTGGGGACCAGGGCCCTATACTTGAAGACACAGGCTGCTGTCTTCAGGTCCTCCACTGTGCTGGGGAAAGGAGATGGGGAAGGGCAGGGAAGACAGCATAAAAAGCTTTCCTGCCATGATCAAGTTGCCTCTTCTTGATTCATCATTTCCTTGGTTGGCATCAACATTGAGCCGTTTTCCAGAGTTTGGATAAAGTGAATTCTTACCACTTCTGCTCAGTTGGTCGATGTTTTGGTGGAGGTAGAGGCCCATGGAGCTACCAGCTCTGCCATTTTCACTGTTGTCTGGGGTGAGTGGGTGATTCTTGTTTCCCTCAATTAAAACCATCCCCCTCCCCAAGTAGTCAACAAAATTTACTGAGTGACACTGTGAATAAAACAGACAATGTCCTCATGGAGCTGTCATCCCAGTGCTCCTCCACTAAATGATTTCAGGAAGTCAGAGGCACTGAGAAGTAAATGCTAGGTGGGTAGGTGGGGATGGTTCATTTCACCTGGATGGAGTCGGAGAGCTTCCCCAAGAAGGTGGCATTGAAGCTCAGGTTTGAAATAGAAGGGAGAAGAGGCAAGCAGAAAAGAACAGTGCTCTGAGGTCAAAGGCTCTCAGAGACTTCAAGAGGCAGAAGGGAGATGAGGGTGGGGTGGGTGATAGAAGTAGCCAGAGAAGAGATGGGAGCGTTCGTCAGAGGCCACATCATACAGGGTCCCTCTTCCGTTTGTAATGTTGGCCTAGAATCTTAGCCTGGGGTTCTTATAACCGTGGGGAGTTAGCAGACTGGCTTCTGGACGTCAGGAATCCCCTGAAATTACAACCAAAAGGTTACAAGACCATGTGCTGGGCAGACTCACTACTTGGACATTTTGAAGTCGTTTGTTTGCACCACCAGAGCTGTTCTCTACCATTCCCGGTACTGCTTTGCAGTGAGAGGCAGGGAGCTCATATCTACGCACCGGGTCAACTTGCCTTCCTTTTCCTCTTATTTCCAGTTGGGTTCAGCCCTGGTAGGATATCTGAGGGCCAAAGGAAAGGAAGGTCTAGGTATCTATTCCCTGGCTCCTACCCTGTTGGTCTGCATCTTTCCACCAAAGCTTGTAACTCTAGCTCTCTCCGAGTTCCGGAACTGTTTTCTCCCCAGCAACTTCAGGCCTGGCTGCTAACAGTTCCCTGACCCCAGGGAGTCACCATCCGTCATTGCTTTCCCTTCACCCTGCCCATGACTCCTCAGTCCTGTCTCTTAAGGGCATAATCTGTGTGTCAGCTGACAAATACAGGTATGTGTGGCTATTTCTGAATTCAAAATTCCAGGTTATAGGGACTTCCCTGGTGGCTCAGTGGTTAAGAATCCACCTGCCAATGCAGGGGACACGGATTTGAGCCCTGGTCCAGGAAGATCCCACATGCTGCAGAGCAACTAAGCCTGTGTGCCTCAACTACTGAGCCTGCGCTCTAGAGCCCGCAAGCCACAACTACTGAGCCCGTGCTCCACAACTACTGAAGCCCGCACGCCTAGAGCGTGTGCTCCGCAACAAGAGAGGCCACTGCAATGAGAAGCCCGCGCACCGCAACGAAGAGTAGCCCCTGCTCGCCGCAACTAGAGAAAGCCCACGTGCAGCAATGAAGACCCAATGCAGCCAAAAAAGTAAATAATAAA